GGGGGGGGGGGGGGGGGGGGGGGGGGGGGGGGGGGGGGGGGGGGGGGAGGCAAGAGTCAGACTGTGGAGGACCCAGATGCCAGGTTGAGTCTGGATTATCCCGAGGGCAATGGGTGCGAGGAAAGGAAGGACTGCACCCCCAGAGGAGCATGGCCCACAAAGGGGCCAGGGCCCAGGCAGAGGCCTGGAGCTCCCCCCCGGGGCGTCTGGTGCAACTCGGGGGGTTAAGAATACAGGCTCTGGACCCTTACTGCCCGAGTCTGAGTTTGAATGCTCCGTTGTTTTAAGCACGTTTCAGTCCCCTCACCTGTTATACGGGAATAGTCACTGCACAGTATCTGCCTCACAGGAAGAAGGTGGACGGTTGAAGGGCTCCACACAGACCAGCACAGGTGCATGCCAGGCCCTGAGAGGGGCTGCAGATCAGAACCCGGAGTGAAAAGCCGGTGGTGGATTCCTTGACTTCAGCTTCCAGAACTGCACTTGGACATGGATTTGGCAATAGAAAGCCTAGCTTGTCCCTCCTGTTCTGAGAGTACCCAGATCAGGTCATGGCCATCACGGGTGGTCCCTGGACACCCTCAGGCAATGAGGATGTCACTCCAAAAGCCTGGGATGGACAGTTTAGTAGGAGGGGGTCTTCTCCCTGGAAGATTGAGTCATGTATGGAAATTAAGCAGATCAAAGCCAGAGCATTAATGGTTTTGTGTTGAGTTTACAAACAATCTCTGTTGTTTGATACTCATGTAATTGTAAAGGAATTTGGTATGGTAGGGTATCCAATACGTCTGATTCTGTGTGAAACATGTTGAGTTTGAAACATATTGATTTTGATAGTGATTCTAAGTTGGAAGGTACAAGACTTTAGTTTGTGATCATAATTGGAATAGTAAAGGAAATTTACAAATTTAAGATAAATGAGACCTTAATGTATCTTTAGGAATTTTTATACTTCTTTAATGTTTTTACTATTTATTTTTGAGAGCACCCACACGAGTGGGGGAGGGGCAGTGAGAGAGGGGGGCAGAGGATCCAAAGCAGTCTCTGTACTGTCTGCACGGAGGCTGATGTGGTGCTCCAACAACGAACCGTGAGATCATGACCTGAGCTGAAGTTGGACGCTTAACCAACTGAGCCACCCAGGCGCCCCAGACTTTTTAAATACTTGATAAGGCAGACAACGGAAATGCTAAAAAAAGAAGTTTAGATTCTGCATGTTAAAATGTAATTTAAAATGTTAAAGGAGTGGAACCAACATACACAGCTAATCAAAATGATAGTTATAGATTTATAGATAAGATTAGTAACTTGAATTTCACAGCCTAAAGAATAGCTAGGGTTTTCTATTTGTAACTTTAATACATCAGGTAGTGTGATGCTGGGCGCATCTGGCTGGCTCAGTTGTAGAACATGTGACTCTTGATCTCAGGGCGATGAGTTTGAACCCCACACTGAATGTGGAGCCTACTTAAAAGAATAAAAAAAGTTGGGGCGCCTGGCTGACTCAGTTGGTTAAACATCTTGACTCTTTAAATTTTTATTATGTTTTACTTTAGAGAGAAAGAGAGTGCAATTGGGGAAGAGGGGCAGAGGGAGAGAGCAAGAATCTTAAGCAGGCTTTCAGTGTGGAGCCTGATATAGAGCTTGATCCCACTACCCTGGGATCATGACCCAAGCCAAAATCAAGTTAGACACTCAATCGACTGAACCATCAAGAGTCTGACTCTTGATGTCAGTTCAGGTCTTGATCTCAGGGTCATCAGTTCAAGCCCGGCGTTTGGCTGCACGCTGGGTGCAGAGCCTACCTAAAAAAAAAATCGAAACAAAATTTGAAGTTAGTGAAAAATAAATGATGTGATATTGAAAAACAAAGTTACAACAAATATCACTTTTCATGCTCAGGAGCTGCTTTCAAGTTCCCTGCAAACATCACTTGGCACTGAACTTGTGGTGTGGACATCCCTGGCTCCCTCACAGATAATGCCTGTGGCCCTGAATATTTCTAGCTTAGAGAAGAGACTGGGACCTTATTGTTTCCAAGTGCCACACAGCTAAATGTAGATTCCTGGGCATCAGACCAGCCAAATCCCCGTGGATGAGGTCTGAGAATCTGCTCGTTAACTATCTCAAAAGAACCCCAGCCCAAGTGAGTTTCAGGTACTGTCAGTGAGGGTCTTCTGGCTGTACTTATGCAGAAATTACACTGAAGCAGGATGTGAATTCCCTGGGTGGTCCAGAGAGTGCTTTCTCAGCATCTGCTGGACCTGATCTCTCCTGGCTGGTCCTCTTTCCAGGGGCAGTTTGGTTCTCTCTCAAAAGGGCTCACGCAGGTAGGGGAGGCCTCGGTAAATGAAGGCCATCAGCTCTGGAGGGTCGGCCAGACAGCTGTTGTTTCTGAACAAACCCCAAAGCTCAGTGCTTTGAACAAATAGGCATTTACTGTTGCCAAGGAAGCTACAAGTTAGTGGGGGCAGGGGGAGTGTTCCGGTTCTGGCTGGCCTCACATGTCGGGTTCTGCTGGTTTGCAGGACGGGTGGGGAGGGCTTCCGCTGGGACAATTGGCTGTCCTCATATAGTGTCTCATCCCAGCAGGCCACCCTGGACATGCTTACATTGGGGCTGGGCAGGGTTCTAAGAGAACAGGAGGGAGCTCGGACGCCACAGGAGGCCCAGCCTCAAAGCTGGCACCTACAGGCCAAAGTGAGTCAGCCCAGACTCAGGTGCCGAGGGACACAGAGTGCCTCCTGATGGGAGGTCACAAGGCAAGGAACCTGGAGACTGGACACATTTTGCCATTAATCCATGACCCGAGGCCTGCCCTCAGGCTACAAACTCGGGATGGCCCAAGGCCTGTTCCCACCTGGGTTTGTATGGGGCAGGAGTCCCATGTACCCTCAAGGCAGCTCTGAGCTGCTGCCTGGTCCCAGAGGGCAGGTAAGGACCTTGGTGTGGACTGCCAACCAGCATCGCTGCCAGCAGCACCACAAATGTGTTGGGCTAGCACCTCTTCCCTCTGCTCCAGGAGCCCATCTGAGAGGTGTGAAGGGCTATCCTCCCCTCCTGCCACGGAGCCTGCTCTGGGCACCCATACGGACCTTCCGCCACCCTGGGATCTGGGTCGGCAGAGCATGTTCGATTCAGGCCAGTGAGACTGGAGCAGATGTTCGCACAAGGCTTCAAGGACAGAGAACCCTCCTGAGCTGGCTACCAGGGAGAGATGACCCTTCTTCCTCTGGATGTTGTGAGGCTGGAGCCGCTCCCAGCCTGGAGACAGAACTCCTGCATCAGGCACATCCTGAAGCCACCCTACCTGTGGACTGCCAGATGAGACCTAATAATTCATCCTTTGAAACTCTCGGAGCTCCTGAGGGACTCTCTGGACAGGTCGTAGAAATGGGTTTGAATAACACATCACACAGGATAGGAGAAATGTTGTGTTTATCTCTTTAAATGAAATTTATTCTGCCCCTCAGCTTTTTAAAAAAAAGTTTTTTTTAATCTTTATTTATTTTTGAGAGAGAGACAGAGTGTGAGCAGGGGAGGAGCAGAGAGGAAGACACAGAAACCAAAGCAGGCTCCAGGCCCCGAGCTGTCAGCACAGAGCCCGACCCGGGGCTCGAACTCACCAACAGTGAGATTGTGACCTGAGCTGAAGTCGAACGCTCAACCGACTGAGCCACCCAGGCGCCCCCACCCCTCAGCTTTTTTGACAGGGAGGTGGGAAATTTCTCTTTACCAACATGGGAAAGAAAGTCCTGGGGTTCTGATAGAATATTCAGGGAGAACTCTGGTGTCTGTCCTTGTCACTTCAATGTGCCCATCCTCCTTGTCTGAATGTGTGCTGGGGTCCAGGAGGATGTCAGGTTTGAGGAGATCTCTCTCTTGGACATCTATCTACCTGGCTGTTTCCAGCCCCTCCCTGACCCCCCCCCCCCCCCCCCCCATTCTCTGTCCTTCCTGGGAGCTGCAGCACATTGTGCTTTTTTCATGATTCTGCATTTCACCAGCAGGCTGTCACTCGGCCAGCCTGTCCTCAAGGCCATGCCCTCTCCAGTCTGGCACTGGATCCAGAGGAACCAAGAGAATGGATGTGTCCTGGTGTGGGCGGATGTCAGTGGCTCTAATCACCACGTCCCCTTGGTGATGCTGGAGAAGGCTGGGTGGTGCTCTAAAGTCACACAGACTTAGCTGTGGGTCAAGGCTTTTGGGGCTGGTTACTTGACTTCTTCGAGCACTGCTGGCCTCATCAGCAGAATGGGAGGTAGGGGACAGTTCCTGCATCCCCGTGGGTCCCCTCCCCCCAAGGCGGCAATGAGGTTTGCTTGAGACAAATTATGAGACAGGCCATTTCCCAGTGGCTCAAGCATTCCAGCCACTTCTCCAACCAAATGCACACGTGCAACCACACAAGTTAAGCCACCGGACTCCAAGCAGAGTGGGAATTCCAAGTTTTCACTTGCAGAGGTGGCTCTGGGAGCTCCACAAAGGGGAGGGGCTTGCCCTGGGATCTAAGGCAAGGGTGGTCAGATCTAGCACAGAAAATACAGGACAGCCAGATAAATTTGAATTGCAGATAAAGAACGGATACTTGGAGAGTTTGTCCTACGCAATAACTGGGCGTCTTGCATTTTATCT